CTTTCTTTCATGGAGCTTTTAGAGAAGATTGAATCTGACAACAGGCGGGATTATATATATATATATGATTAAGTTTAAAGGTAGAAAAGTAGGGATAAGAAATCAAAGACCAAAGCCAAGTGTGGTGGTACATGTCCTCAATCCCAGTACTTGGGAGGCAGAGCCCAGCAGATCTCTATGAGCTTGAGGGCAGCCTGGTCCACTCAGTGAGCTCCAGGCCACCTTTTCTCAAAAAGAAAAAAAAAAAAAAAAAAAAAAAATCGATGACTAAAGGATTTGCCAATATGGGGTCAAATTTGGCAGAATAATGAAGGTTTCCATTAGCTCTGTTTTTTTGTTTTTTCTTTTTCAAATCCTAACTAGTTTATTGGGCTTGCAACAGGTCATAGAGTGGGGGTTTATTTGCAGAAGAGTGGGCAGGTGGGTGGCACTATTTTTAGCCCCTCATTTTGAATGGCTCTAAGAACAGTATCATTCCTTCTTAGAACATCTGCTTTCTCCCTCAGGGAGTTCTTTGGGAGACTGGTGATCTAGCAAGGTTCAGCATATTTGACTGCTGGCTGTCATGGAGAGTTATAACATTCTAGTATTTGTAGTATGATATTACTTGAAAGAAGCAAGTCACCTTTCCACCTGAAAATTGGTGCTCAGGCAACACTGACTTTGGATTATCAAAGAACACCTTGTATAATTTTCTGTTGAGTTTAAGATTATCTCATCTTTGAATTATGTTTTTTTCAGAGTCTTCTGATTTCTGAAATGTAGTCAAAAGTAGGTAAAAGTAAGAAAATATGGGGAAAGTAAAATGATGTGTTAACATGTTTGTACCAATTATGTTTTAAGTGCCTGGTACCTGTGAGTGTCACCCTACATGACTGAGTTGTGAGACCTGAGTGTTAAAATTTTTATTTGGGGCAGGTTAAGAGGCGACTTCACCCCACTGATTCTGTATTTGGGGAAGTGTGACTTTGCTTCAGTGTTCTGCCACCCTGATGGAGCCCACACCCCTGCAGCTACCAAGAATTATAGAAGTGGTGGCTTAATGTTCTTCCTATCTGAAGTTCTCCTCTCACCGCCTCCCATCTGGAGCTAGCCCAGGACTTCTGCTGTCTTATCCACTCAATCTACCTACAGTCACCTAATTGAGGTTTGTTGGGGATTATTTCTAAAGATTCATAACAAAAAAATCTTACAATGCCAAAGAGTACAGGAAAAAGCTAAATGAAATTAGTGACTGAAATATATAATGATATTCATTTTTTTGCTTACTAGCAAGCTACAGGTATATTATAAATTAAATCAAGTCACACTTGCCCTTTGACTAATTTTACAGTAAATTCATTAAAATATTTAACTTTTAAATGTTCAATTCCAAATTTTATATATGTTCATAAGAATTTATTCAGCCCAGCTCAATAAACAATTGCTACATCTTACTGTGGACTAGACAGTATAGTGGATATGGTATCAAGCAAGACAGAGACACGGTGCTTCCCTTCCAGGGAACAAATAGATATGTAATGGTAATATGTCAGAAAAGCTTCACTCATCCTTTATGTGCCAGGTATTGTGCTTGAGGTATTTTAAATTATTTTATTTATTATTTTTATTTTATGTGTATGAGTGTATTGCCTGCATGTATGCAAGCATACCAGTGTCATTCAATGCCTCCTGTAGAGGTTGGAGAGGGTGTTAGATTCCCCTGGAACTGGAGTTATGGACAGTTGTCAGCTAACATGTGGGTGCTGGGAATCAAACCTGCGTCCTCTGAGAACAGCCAGTGCTCTTAACCACTGAGTCATCTCTCTAGCTCCTCGATGTATTTAAAAATTGATTCCTATACTATGTTAAGCTTATAATTTCTATACTTACCAGATGAGAAAGCTGAAATTCTTAGAGCTCAAGTCACCTGCTCAATGTGACAGACAGTATGTGGTTAAAATAAGACCTTGTATTTTGATTATCAGACTCCATGGCTTGTACTGCTGTTAAGAATACCACTTTCTAGTATAAATACTTCTTTAGAAAGATATGAAATGGACTGATGTACTTTGTGTCTCTCTAGGTAGCATTAAGAAAGAAATGTATCTTTATGCAATATATATTTATTGTATTTTAAACTGTTGTTCAACAAGGAAAAGAATAAATTAATTGGAATTCCTAATTTTCTTGAAAGTCAGGATGGGCAGGAAAAATGATATTGTCTAATTTGAGCAAGCTTATAAAATTTCTCTAACAACATTGTCTTGTGCAAGATGACTGCGTCACTAAGGTGACCTTCCAATCAGTATTATTTGTCATTGCTGAAAACATTTTACATCTTCATTTTAAAATTTTTTATTTTTATGTATATGAGTGTTTTTCTTGAATGCATGTTTGTGTACCATGTGCATGCCTAGTATCCACAGAGGCCAGACTAGTGTGTCGGACCTCCAGGAACTGGAATTACAGATGATCATCACCATGTGGATGCTGGGAACCAAACTGAGGTCCTCTACAAGAACAGTAAGCTTTCTTAACTCTGAGCCACCTCTCCATCATGTTCACTTCCTATTTTGAAAATTTCTTTGCATTTATATATTTATCACTCCTTGCAGACCTAAATTTTGTCATTTAATAAACAACTTTATTTTTATTTCAAGAAAGACTTGATCAACTTGTCAGCAGACTTGGCTCTGGATAAGCTTTTGATGTTTACAAAACTCCAACTCTCCTGTTAAAGAGAACGATTTTCTGCATTTGACATTTTAAGTAATATGAAGGAGGCTCAGATGGCAACTCCACAAAAGTTTCCTGAGCTCAACAGGCAATATTCCAAAGTCACTGGTTGGAAGTGGACAGCATTGGCTTATTGGTTTGCATTCTGGTATTTTAAATGATTACCTTTTACTTACAGGTTGTCTAGGCAAAGTCACTGCAGTAGAGTGAAACCTGAAGAATTCTGGTAAGTTCTGATTGTGTGTGTGTGTGTGTGTGTGTGTGTGTGCTTTTCTCTCCTAATCCTTGAAGTTCATGAATAAAACAGCACCTTCCACAAGTTCAGAATTCTTTAAAGGACAGAGGGAATGAGAGAGAGAGAGAGAGAGAGAGAGAGAGAGAGAGAGAGAGAGAGAGAAAGAAAGAGACAGAGGAAATATCAAAATGAGGAAGTGATTCCTCTAATTATCAGAAACAGGAGCAGAGAAACAATGGCTGAAATTCACCTCCCCATGGGGGAATGAATCATCAAAATAACCAGTGGAAAACAAGGTTGTGCAACCTTGACCAGTGTGTGTCACCGGCTGGTGGAATTTTTAGAAAGGCAGCAGTTTGGGCTCATCACTGTGGTTCGTGATTGCACACACCTGTTTGGGGCATGGATTTTGCAACCCCCCAAAAAGGGGAAACTGAACTCACTGCTCCTCCTGAGCTGTGCAAAAAAGCAGAAAACCACAGCTGCTCGAGCAGTTAACAGATATCAGTAAAATGCCCATGTTACATAATTAAGGATAACGTTCTTGAAGCATATGGGCTGGAGGTATTATGCTCTCATTAAAACTTTAGGTAGCAAACAATTTAGCATATTCTTACACACATCAGAGTTGAATTCTATAACAAATGTTTATAATTAGGCATGCTCTAAACAGTTTATTAAATAATACATGAAGAAAATGGCTGATGAAATATAGACAGTTTTGAGGTTTGCATACAAGTGACACAGAGGTACAGAATTGAGCCGTGAAAGGTATCTTCCCACTGACTTGGTAAATGGACACTTTGGTCAGCTGAGGCAAGAGTACGAAGAGGCTTCATTTTCTAGCCCAGCATGTCTATAATCTTGGAGAAAGGATAATTGATGTCTTCAGATTGTTTTCTTTTCTCTTAAGATACATTTTATGTAGCAATCTTCTTTGAAATGCCAGCACTGAAGAGGAAGAAATCCTTTGGACCAGTGTAGTTCAAATCTCAAATGTACTTTATTTAGGCAGATATAGATCAGTTTGTCTAGGAATAGTAGAGATAGATAGAGGCCAGACGTGGCCTAACAACATTTAAACCAAGAGTGCTGTTCTTTGTATGTTGAAAAAGAAGAACGAGAAGTCTCTCTTGAGAATTACCAGGGCAGGTGTTTGCTCCCTGGGGAAGTGGTAGGAAACCTACCCCTGACATGGTATTAATTGGGGGGAAAGAAATTCTTTTGGTTTTTACATCTCTGCTTGATATTCAAGTCAGGTGTTACCTATGGAAAATGAGTTTGGATGTTCCTGGAGGTCTCTAAGGGAAGAATGAGCACTTTCTTAAGCCATTAAGATCATCTAGAGCTCTTGTTTCCCAGTGCACATGAATATGAAAGCTGGTAACAGAATGAACATGGTATTTGGAATGCGTTCTAGAATGTACTTGGGGGAACTGGCAAGGCTGACTTAGTTTTTACTGATTTGTCTGTTTAGTAGGTAGAGGGGGCTGCCAGTCTGGCAGTTTGCACTGGCAATAAATCACAACTAGACATTTTATTTAAAAATTGGCACTGGCTTGGGAGAGGTGAGGGACTGTCAATTTGTTTTTATTTTGAGGCAAAGCACAATCATAACACAAACAGGCCACCTGGAAACTTTAGCCCATATGCAAAAGCATGGTTCGGGTCTGTGGCTATTGCAGTTGTGGAGAGTGCAGGGCTAAATCAGAATGTAAGGATTCCTGGCTTGGAAGACCCTGACAGACCTGTTCAACCTGAGGCAACCCGGCTGGAAACCATGCTGATTCTGGAAGTGTGCTATAGGAAAGAAATCATTGATATAATATGGGGGATAAAGTCTGTTTTTCTCTTCTATTGAGTTCTCACAGAGCACATTCAGAACATACAATTAATGCACTCCACCAAATCAGCCCAACATGAAAAGTTGAGCTCTCCCTTTCTTTCCCTCTTTCTCTCTCTCCCCTCCCTCCCTCCCTTCCTCCCTGCCCCTTCTTGTTCTCTCATTCTTTATCTGTTTCTTTAATTTTTTTAATCTTAAATTTCACTTTCAAAGTGATATATCATGATAAATTAACTCATAGTTTTGAGTGACAAAATATTTTAAGGTAGGGTCTGGGGGTGTGGGTCAGTGTAGAGTACTTGCTTAGATTGCATGAGGTTCTAGGTTCACTCCACAGTACACACACACACACACACACACACACACACACACACACGAAGGAAAAGCTTGCCTTGGATTCTTACCACTACAACATTGAAAATAGCTAACCGTTCCTCACTTTTATCTGTCACCTACTTCTCTGACTATTCCTTACCTTTAAACATCAAACTTTTAAACAAATTTTTGAATTTTTCCATTTTGAAAACATGCGTTACTTTTTTATCAGAAAGTTGTGTTGAAAATACATTGATTCATCAAGTTGCTAGCCTTTCTGTCTTCATTTACATCGATACTTATAAATCTTGACTGTACTCCACCTGTTACTATGCAAACTATTAGAATCTAGTACCAATAGAGTTGTACTGACAGCCATAGCGACATGAAGAGCTAAATTTGTTCACTTCTCAGAAATACCTAATTTATTCTAGAAGCTACAAGTATTTAAATTTGCCTCAACTTTACTTTCAGAAACATTTTCACCTCTCTTATCTGATTTCACATGTATAATTTTTGTGGCACTATCTACAAAAATGTAGGAAGAATATACACCCTCATTTCTGCTTGGTAAAATCATTTCAAGGGATCTAAGTATCAAGGGTCAACGAGGAATGCCCACTTCGGCAGCTCACATGCTAAAATTGGAGCGGTAAGATTAGCATGGCCTCTGCGCAAGGATGACATGCAAATTCGCTAAGCGTTCTGTGTTTTTCAACTGCCAGCAGGTAAGATCCACAGATGCAATGACCCCCAGGGGAAACAATGCGTACTGCCCCTAGTCCACGGGCTGGTCCCATCCTGCCCATAGCGAGGTGCCCCACAGTGAGACAGCACACTAAGTTCCGAGCTGGTAGGAGCTTTGGCCTGGAAGAGCTCAGGGTGCCTTGGACCACTGGCATCTCTGTGGACCCAAATCCACTAAATCCCCACAGGCCAATGTGCAGTGGCTGATGGAGTACCGCTCCAACTTCATCCTCTCCCCCAGGAAGTCTTTGGCCCCTGGAGAAGAGAGACACCTCTGCTGAAGCACTGAAATTAGCCACCCAGGTAACAGGACCAGTGATGTCCATCTGGGCAGTCTACAAAAAGCAGAAAGCCATCAAAGAGGAAGAGAAGAATTTATAGGCGTTTACCACTCTTTGGTGGCCCATGCCAATGCCTAACTCTTTGGCATCGGGCAGAGGGCCAAGGAAGCTGCAGAGCAAGATGGTGAAAAGCAAAAGTAATACTCTTGGTGGGTATTGTAATAGATTTTCAGCAAAGAGAAAAACAAAACAAAACCAGAAAGCAAATGAGGAAACCATTGATGGTGTGCTGAAAGCATTTGGCACTGGGCATTTCTGCTGGTATTCAGGACTCATATTTAAAGATATGTGACATTAATTAATCAGAAAAATTGACTGCATTAAATATCTGACCATGAGAATTTTTCTTTGTCTTAAGATACATAATATCATATTGCTTATAAAATACTGCTGAAAGTTCTCCCATGAATGTAGTCAGGAATCTGTACAGTGTTCCATAAACTGTTGGCTAATAGGTGATAATATTCATAAAATGATACAAAGAAAAGCAGAGAAATAAGAACTAACCCCAAAGCACCCGCTTAAAAAAGATCCCAGAATTCTGCCAGTTTGAACATATCCAATGTACATCAAATGTCAGCTCAGCAGACCTTCATGTAGATAGATTGAGATGCAGCTTATACAAGCCGGAGGAGGAAATACAGTGTTGAAAGGTCCTGGGTAGCCTCCAAATGATGCAGTAATTAGCAGGTGTTTATATTTTTCATTTGGTTTGCCCACAGGTACTGTTTTGGAAACAGTACCATAAAGATTTTCATCTTGGCATGTGTCTCCAACATTTGTTTGGATTCAATATACACATTAATTTGGATTGAAATTTTCTGATCTGGATTTTTCCTACTTGATGGCTGTAGGTGCTAACACATGTTTATAAGGTTCTTGGGTCTTCCAAATAACCTGTTAGTTTTAGGATATTGAACTCTTTGTATTTTCTCCCTCTAGTGTTATGACCATTATGGAGCATAAATTGTGTGTGTGTGTGTGTGTGTGTGTGTGTGTGTGTGAATTAAAATGTCACTGCAAATAAAATCTCACTTTGTAGATTCAGAATTCTAATCTTATTTTCACTGTTTTATTTTAAAAGTCCAAGTTCTTATTTATCCTGAAGTTTTTAACTGGATAGCTTAGTCTGTTTAAACAAAACTACCAAAGACATAAGATAGCACATAAAGACAAATTAGAGAATAATAAATGCTAATAATATCTTATTTTATAAGTAAAATGTCACTGATACTAAGTTCTTTAAACACAGAAAGGCACATCCACGCATGTCCATTCTGGCACTTGCTCGCTGGCTAACTCAAGTAAAAATAGTCTCTGAGGGACAGAACTGCAAGGCTGGTGCCAACTTCCCCAACATACCCAAGAATGTCTTTATTTAGAACCTCCCATGTGCTATTTCTTTAAATCTCTGGAATCTCAGGGAGTTTCCCATTCCTCTACATGCTTGAGACATTTCAGGGTATGGTAACCCCCTCTTGGAATCCTCTAACTCTACTGCTTTAATTTTAAATTGTGGGCAGTGATTGACTACTGTTCCTTTGACAAAGGAGGGTGAGATTCCCAGTAAGCATCACAACGTATCTGAAGATTATTGTGGGTGAAAGGAGCCAACTCAGTGAGGCACCAAAGCTTCCCTCGAAGGCAATCTTGGTAAGAAAGAGATTTTAGTCAAGGTTTTACATCAAGAGCTTCATGAAAAAGTGGAAGGAGGCACATATCGCAGTGTCGATAGAACACAGCATAATTCCTGGTGGTTCATAGGTCACAGTTCATCTTTGCCAAAACCCAAGAGAAGATAAACGTTCAATCTTTTTGCTTCAAATTTTAATGATACAGGAGGCTTGAATTTTGGTAACATATTTGCTTTCTGCACAAGTAATGACCCTTTGGCTCTTTTTGAGCTAGATCATGATAATTTCTGAGGCAATCATGCTATGTGAAACTATTAATATGTATTCAAAATTATATCATGTTTACATGCCATATTTGTGATATAAACACATCACCACCTTTACAATAAAGCAGAATGTGCTACTGTAGAGAACTCCCTTTCACTTATGAACGTCTGAGTCTGAGATTCACACAAACCACACTTTTGTTTGACTCCAAAATGTGGGTGCCAAATGAATCTACTGCACTAGGCTTATGAACACTACTGCAACTGTGCAGCCACTATTTCTCCACTGGGAGAATTGTTTCAGCAGATAAACCATCTGGCTTGAAACACAGCCCTCTTTGAAAATATTCCCCATTATGTTAGCTCTGAAACAATGTGTACAACTATGCTCCAGTGGAGGACATGGTTAGGAGAAATTCAATGTCATACAATATCTTCTCTGTAATCCTTTGCTAAATGTAAAAAAAGAGGTAATCAAAATGCAATATTTTAATTCTTTAAAGAGTCATTGTGTGTGTGTCACAGACGAGGAAAATTCAGGAAAATATTTAATAAGGAAAAAGGATGGTGTTTAGTGTAAAGACTTTTTCCTTAAGGATTGCCCATAGAAAATGTGGTTCCTTTTGTCACAAAGTGTCATGAAAATATCTTGTTAATGATTCGTATTCATTAATTTGCTTTTGCTAAGTATTTTCATATATGAGTTCTTATATGTGCTAGGAATTCTTGGAATCTAGTATTTCTAATTATAGGTTCTTATGTGAAATTATGTGACTCAAGGTGATTATGAACCAGGAACACTCTGGAAAAATTAAATGACAAGTATAAATTGCACAGTGGGAACAGGGATATTCATAACCAACTAGGGACATTTGTTAGAACAGGTTTTAAGACTAAAGCAACAAAATGTTACTATTATAGAAGCAAGCTAAATGGGAAAAGGAATTAAAATTATATTATTTATATTTGAAACTATTTAGAGTGATATCCAAAAGAAAACTTTAATAAAGCCATAAGAATGTTAGAGAAAACAAGTGAACACCTCTCAGTATGTCATACTGAGCAAACACATAGGGGAGAAAGCGGGGGCATTTGGCCATTGGTTGGGGTGACTGCAGGAGCAATGGCATAGCCCTGTGGTGAAGTTCTGGGAATCATCACAAAGAAGAGAGAGTGAGAAGAATGAGAAAGTTTTAGGGAACAGAGCTGCTTAATCTGTTGATGAGAAAGACCGATGTCACAAATGATAATTCTTTTGGGGAAAAAAAATGGTGCATAGAGAGCAAACGCTGACTTTTTTTTTCCTTCAGAGTTGCCTGGTATGTCAAAAATTCTCAATGTTTGATCTAACGCTTACTGGGTGTTACTTAGTCCTGGTTCCTTGCTCTCCTTTCTAGCTTCTTCCATCACTTTTGATTAGCTGTGCAAATTTGTACCTTTCAAATGTCTCAACTTTATGTTTTCAAGAAGTTGTCATTTTTTTCCTAGTTCTTCTCTAAATGAGAGAACTAGAGCCCATTGAATTAAATCATTTTTTTTTTCCATTTTACAGTTTTATTGTGCTGGATAACCAAGTGCTGGCATTAATCATTGGCTTTATTCCACATGCTGTCATTTCCAGGTAATGGTGATTTCCAAGTAATGGTTTCCAACAAGAGGCTTGCTGAATCACATTCATTGACCTAAGGACCCAGGAGGATCTTGTGGAAGACTGACCTACGTGGTCTTACAAACACAAACAGGAGAGTAGAGCTGTGTTGAGCACTAGGATGGCAAACAAGAGGATGAAAGCAGTCAGTACTTATTGTATATTTAAGTGCTGCATTGCTAGTGAGTGGACTGTATTATTCTGTATTCATTTCTTACAATCATCTTAGAAAAAAATCTTACAATTGTTCCCCAATATTGGAGCCCATAACTGTTCTGCCTTATGGGAGACAGAGTGGACAGGAACTTCGTCTGATTGTGCTATTGTTTCATTATACAGAGATTCTCAATGTAGGCTAGGAATGCACTATCTATTCCTAGAAGCTCTGGGGTTTTCTCAGTGCATTCCAGGGCCATTAGCTGGAGCAGACACTCTATTAAGTTATATTGTGTCTATGTTTATGAGGAGGAAGTGAACTCTGGATTATGTCTCTAGCAGGAAAAGAACAATCAGCAATTAATGTATTGGACTTCTATGAAGTCTTTGGTAAAGGTTAATGATCATGCTAATACTCTAACGTCTGCTGCTGTGAGGAGAGTACTTAACACATGAGCTTGTTTTTGCATTCCCTAATATTTCACCCTTCTTCAGAAGTGAGTGAGGTATAATTCTATGTGGTAAGGAAACATTTTGGAGAAGAAACAGAGGTATCATTCAATATTAACAAGCTATTTGAATTTTTAAACATTTCTTAATCCTCTTGGAAATGCATAGATTATCTGTGTTCTGCCTATGAATGTACCTTCCCCCCACCTTGTGTGTGTGTGTGTGTGTGTGTGTGTGTGTGTGTGTGTGTATGTTTGTGGTGTGCTTACTAAATGGCCAAAAGTACGACATTCAACTTTAAATGTTAAAAATTTACTGGAAATAATACAAATGCAGATACGGGACATAAGATGAATCTTTAATTTTTTAAAGACAAAATCCAAATAATTCTTATTGTAGATCAGAATGTAGCTTCTCTGAAGGGTGATCAGAATTTGATGAAGGAAATATTGGATGTCATATACATAAAATTGAACTTCCCGAAAACATTTTAAATTATTTTACATATGATTATTATTATTTATCATATGTGTATTATGTGTGTATATAGAGAGAGAGAGAGAGAGAGAGAGAGAGAGAGAGAGAGAGAGAGAGATATTCAAGTGCCATGGTGTGCAAGATGAAAGAGGAGAACTTCCAGGAACTCTGGTATCTCCTTCCACAGTGGATTGGGGGTAGGAATGGAGATTGAATTTAGGTTCTCTGGCTTGTACAACTGGCCCCTGGAAGTATTTTAAGTGAACAAGTTTTAGAATTGAAAAGACACATGCCCAGTGACCATAGCTCCAAGGATGAGGTTCTAAGAAAATCTGAGGCATTCTTGTCCCATAGGGGTGGAGAAGAGGCCGGTGGTGAATGATTTACTTCTCTGCTGCCCTGTGCGTTTCTTCAGGTAAACTGTGGTTCTCCACTCTTCTAAACTTGACAAAGAAAAGTCAGTGCAGTTGTCCAGGTAGGTTCCCTCCCTGTCTTAGATGAAAGAACTCGAAACTCAGTAACCCAAAGCAGACTTTATAATCTGATGACCAGGACTATTTATCCAACTAAACTAAGCCATAGTTGAAGTTTAAAAAAACAAGAACTGAAAACCAGCGCCACTAACTGCGCTGAGGTGTCAGCGTGGAGGGCAGGTAAGGTAGATTAATAACAGGCCACTCCTAAGAAGGTTTAGGCTCTTACTGTCAGAGGGTAATAATTAATGATCAAGTGTTAATGGAGATACTGGGCTGTTGATGTCATTAATTCAGCTCAGTGGAGCCCGTTCTGCCCAGGACCTGCCACAGCTGTCACTGCATTTGCTTAATTATTCCAGTGCCTTCGGGCTCTTTTCCTTTCAATTTTTTTCCTTTACCCTTTTCCCTTCCTATCTATAGGACTTTATGTTTTCACTGACACAAAATTATGAAGAGCTCCTGGTCCCTGGGCAGCGCCAAGCCAAAAATACATGGAAACCCAAAGGCAACGAAGGAGATCGGAACTTTTTTCTTAGAAGAAAAGATGGAAAATGCTGAAGAAAGGCCATCTTTAAAAGGCCTGATTGTGCTGATTTAATTTTGGGGTTCTTTAAGGATTTGTATGCTGAGAGTGAACCCTGGGCTGTGTAAAATGTCAAAGTGCTCACCCTCTCCCACAATCTAACAAAGATAATACAGAAAAAGTGGCTCAAGAGTGTTGGTAAAACATTAAGGCTGCACAATCATCCATCCATAAGGGGACCAGAAAGTTAGCTTTGCTGGGCAAATTGAGGCAAGGCAACACAGGGTGAGGGAAATGCCACTGCGTCTGTGGGAGCTGTGAATGTGCCCGCTGTGCTTCCGGAGCCTCTTGCGTTAGCTTTGCTTCTCTCTTGTCAATTGCACCGCTTTGAGTTTAGAGAAAACCACTTTTCTGCTTTCTAAATATTATTTGGATCTTTCTCTCCTGGGTTGGCCCAGTTATCACCAAAGTTTTCACTTTCTCACTTACTGATTGGAATGGTGTATTTATTCATTTTATATTTTGTGTTTTCCGGTTTTCAAATTGTGTAATTCAAAAAACCCGATTCTTGTTTTTTAGACACATTTCTACTTCTGATGAGTCAAAGTAATCCATGCTTCTTGAGCATCCAGAGGAGAACACTGCTTGACTCACTTCCAAACTCAAATACTTAAAAATGTGAGGCACGACAAGGATTTTAAATCTCTTTGCACTGTACATGGCTATTTAAAATAATTGAAGCTCTTCAAATTTTTATATGTGCTCAAATTCGGAAGCGATCAGTTCTGAGCATGTGCAGGTCACAATGATTTAAAGTCATTAGAGTCTCCTCAATTTACCCTAAGTGTTTCAGCTTGAGAGTGACAGAGGAACCTGGACTGTGACGGTGACAATGATTTAACATTGTCATTGCTCTCAGATGGAATGCAGGTGATTGAAATTATGGACCCTTGTGTACATTTTATAAAATCACTGTTAAAATGACTCATATTTTTAGGCCCCAAAGATATTATTAGCTACCAGAAAACACATTTAACTAAACCACTTAAAAATGTACCATAGCATAATTTTACTGTCATAGTCCCATTGATGACCTGATTGTAACCACAGCTTTAAAGCCAAATGGTCAAATTTGGCATGAAAAACAATGGTTGTCTTCTAGGCCAAGCCTGGAGAAATAAGTGTTCAGTAAAAACACCTGATGCACTCTGGTGACATCAGAGTCTGCGTACACAAATTATGCTTTTTTTTGCTCTAAATAAGAGGGAGGCTTTTTGGAGTATTGCATGAATTATGTCTTCTCACATAGTTTATTTAAACATCTTAAATAAGGCACTTTTATTAAAGATTATTTAACAAAAAAGGTCACATTATAGTATCTTCTAGATGAAATATATCTTCATGCCATAATACACCTTTTGCTCTGAGGGAATCTGAACCAAATGCAAAGGTATATAATTAGGAAACACACCAGCTGGATGATTTATTTGACCACTGAAGGTCATTCAGCATCCTCTGGTCTTTACCAAAGGGTAGTCCCAGAGCAGAAACACTGAAATGTTGCTGAGTGTCATGATGCCAAGAGTCTAACATGGAAGGCAGATGTATAGTTCAAAAGTTAATATTATATAGGAAAAAATCCAGTCATTAAGAATTCAGCTCAAATTCCTAACATGTTTTATTTGGGCCTCTGAAAGCACATCGATGCTGTTTTGCTTGATTTAAATGAAAGTGACAAAGGTGAGATTCCAGCTTATCTCTCAGTCACTTCCTGTCCTCAGTAAATGTTTTCATTTTGATAAAAATTAGGATAAGTTGATCATGGATTGGATTTAAAAAAAAACAAAACCCAAAACCTGGAGTTGGAGTTTGAAAGATTCTGGCTCATGAAAACAATCTGATCTTAGGAACCAGCTTTATAAAAACTCCATGTTTTTATTAGAGCAGAAATTCAAGAGAATTAGAAATAGAAAATGCTAATATTAGAAAGTATGTTGCATTTGGGATTTCCGTCGCACTAGGGATTGAGAGCCCTGAACTATGAAAACTCCCACATTTGGTATAGAAGTCAACTCTTGTACTAATTATTTTAAACAATAATTATATTTTTTATTTATTTTAATGTAATAGACATGTACAAATCTTAGTTTTAGCATTGTAAGATTGTTAGCATAAGAAAATGTTATAATAAATAAAAGATTAAATAAAATTGTTGTCAAGATCACAAATCTATAGATAAATGCATATTTAAAACATAGCTAAGTAGTTATAGATATCAGGAGAATGACAAGATTTGAACAATTGACAATAATTTGCAACATAGATGAATTAAGTAGAACTCATGCTTAAAGGTGATCAATATAGAAAAATACTTCAAAATACTTACTTTTCTTAATGTATGTATTGAATTTTATTATTAGTTTGAAACTTTGAAAGTTTTCCTTGTGTTCATGTGTTTTCAGTCTCCACTATTACTTTGCTGTTGAATTTTGATAGGCGTATGAACCTAAGAAAGTTTGTTCAATTATTTGTGCCTGTGCTAAATGAAGAATATGTCAGTGCACTAGTGTTTTGCTGCTCAGTAGTTGAACCAAGCCTTACTTAGGTTTCAGGTAGAATAAGCACAGTCTTTGCTGATCCCATGAGAATGCCTGGAGATCATGGAGTACAAAGCATGGTTGCACTAACACATCGTCCTTGTCCTCAGCTAGGTCTGCTTTGGAGCCCTTGGGAACTAGAAATGTTATTTTGAATGACTAAGTTGCTGTGTGTGTTTAAATTCTAGATATTCTCATAGTTCTAACTAATTAAACAAATTTAAAAAAACATTTGATGCATATTAATACAACATTTAAAATGAAGAATTCCATTAGCCCATATTTTAGGTTTAAAAACCAGAGGGAAATGTATTAATTCAAAAGCCTACTGAAAAACACACATTATGTGTATGTGTGTGTGTGTGTGTGTGTGTGTGTGTGTGTGTGTGTGTGTGTGTGTGTGTGTGTGTGTGTGTGTGTGTATAGTATGAGTGTACATGTATAACTGAAGGCTAAATAACAAAAACCACTGTATCAGGAAGGGGAAATGGAACCTCCCTTCCAGTAATAGGTCAGAGTAGTTCCAGAGACTCCCCAAATAATTCAGGCTATTGCCATATTTCCATAGCCCTTGATTACCTCCCAGAACTTGAAGGTAGGATTCTATTGCTGAAGATAGGGCATACTTTGGACAGAAGGTTTGGAGCAATTGAGCTGGAACTGACCTGGAACCCTCCTCCCTGAGGACTAGCTCCCATATTATCAGAAAATACTATGCAAAGTACCGAGGGAGAAAACCAATCAATAATTCCCATCCAGCTATAAAGTCTATGAACCATAACAATGACCAGTCCAGCAAATTATCACCACTGGTGCAGTAGTAGTAGCAGCTTTATCTTAGGAGTAATCAACAAATGTTTAATTGGACTTAAGGTCTGCTCAATGGCAGGGAACTCATGTGCTACTATAAATATAGTCAAATACACATGGCTGGAGAGGTCATAGAACCTAGAGAAAAACATCCTTTTGCCATATACCTAGACCAACCTAATTTCTTGCTGTATTCTAAATATGCATTCTTATATTTATAGATAAGTGTATCTTTTACTCCACATCAAAGAAGTTCCTTTGTGCAACAGATGGAGATTATTACAAAGTTCCACAAGTGGTTAAATACAGGAAATAAGTGTCTATGAGATGCCCAGCCTAAGTGACACATCTGCAATGCAACCCGTATACCTAAGGCTCAGGGAACATAGCAGAACAGGGGGTGGCAAACAGGGGGTAGAGAGAATATGAATGCACCTCTCAACTCTCAGTAGCAAAACTTCCTCATACAATAGATAGTGGTTAACACAGAAACCCACAATTGACCGATGTGCACAGAACAAGAGGCCGCAGAGTGCTTATCCCTGAATAGAACACTCACACAAAACCTCTCCCACCCAAGGCTCAGGGACCATTGTGGAAGAGGGAGCTGAAATATTATAAGAGCCAGCGGAGGTAGATGACCACAAGGAAACAGAGCTTTCCAGACAGCCAGTCAGTTACTCATAAGAACTCACAGCAATGGTAACACTGCGCACAAGACCTATGTCAGCTCAAGTCAGACGAAATCCCAGCATAGAAATGGGGAAGTAGGTAAGAAGCCCTGATTTTAGCTGAGGAACTATTGGCAACTGATAATTGGTGGGAGAGGGATTGTTGGTTTTCTTTAAGAGTGTGATGCTAGATAGTCTAATCAGGCTCCAGAGAGTGGATAGACACATATTGAAGGACATTTGACTTGGTAGGCCTTAGTATATATGAAAGAGTACATGAAATCCTGTGGGGATATTATATGAGGGCTACAGATAGGGAGGGAGTCTAAATATGATAAAAATATATTCTATGAAATTTTAAAAGTTTCAGTAAAATAGAGTAAGGATGGCTGCTTTTGAATCTGGACTGACAGGGACATTAGTTACTACCTAAAAAGTAGCATGCTGAATACCCAGATCTTGGCTTGGAGAAATTAATAAGGAGTTAAAACACTGTATTTTTCAGTTTATTTTTAGTTTTTTAAAAAAAATTTTAATAACTACATGATTAGAAGAAGCATTTCATTACAGCTTTAACATATTCAGCAACACAGTCCAAACCAAGGATACATCTCTTTCAAAAGTGGCTGTAAATTTTTAGGTTCACAGTTGAATGAATACAGTTATACAATATTGAACTCAGTATCAACCCTGTAAGATATAAAATTGAATGTGTTTTTACCCTGTAAATAAGATCTCCATTTCAAGATATGCTGTTTCCTACATTTTTTAATATTATTCTTTAGTTTTTTTTAGAAGAAGCATATCATTACAGCCTTAACATGCCCAATAACAGTTTCCAGAGCAAAGACAAAGCTCCTACAAAAGTGCCTATAAAATTTCTAGGTTCGCTGTTGAATCAATAGTTTTACAATATTGAACTCAGTATAAGCCCTGTAAAACATAAAATTTAATGAGTATTTAACCCTCAAAAAAGATGTCCATTTCATTCTAAAATATACTGTTTCTTACAGACTCACTGTTTTTGCTACTAATGCTGAGACGTTGGCTCATGCATCTCTAATCTGTATGTATCTAATTATTACTAGTCATAATCATTTGCACTTGGATCCTTGGCACCTGTGTATGTTTATAAAGTCATCGGGTAGATTTCAATGGTAATGTTTATTACCTCTACTAATTAACTTGACATAAATTTTTATGCTTCCTCCTCAAATAGAACTCATTTTTAAAATTTGTTGATTTCTTTTTCTATCTGGGAATCCTTTTGGCCACCCTGGCCAACAACTCAGAAGGAGGTATCGCCTGTCTGGCATTGTTGCTTGCTATGTAGCGTTTAGCTATACATATGGTCTCTAATGAAATTATATTGGCCCCTTTAATCTTTGGTTATACTTTCCTTTTGGGTGTTTAAGGCCATACAGTTGGTCCAGGTAAACCAATTTATTTTTACTCTTAAGGTTGTTTGAGGATCTGTTCCTCAGGGGTCACATGCGCTTGGGAGGAGCCCCTGGCTCCTTTCTTTTACCAGTTCCATTTATGTGAAAATAAGTCAAAGGTCTTACTCGACCATGGCTGGCTTTCCTTGGAAGTGTGGAGGACTATGATTCCTCTGTGTTGACCCTCCTCTTTGTAGACTGGACAATGGTTCAAGTCCATATGGCAGGGTTTCCTTGGCCTCCTTGATCAAGAGGACAGGTACCACAATTACAGGACATTTTGAGAGATGCTCATAGTCCCCTGGAACTAGTTGACCTAGGAGGGCAAAGAGCAAAAAACTGTCCTTTATGTCCCTCTGACCAAATTAGTATAGGCCTCAAAGTATGTCTGCTAAACATTCAAGAAGGTTAGTTCCACCAGTTTGGTATTTTTAATTACAGTGTGCCATGTAGATAAATCTTGGGCAAAGACCAATTGTTCTCAGATAAACGTTACCTAGACATATATTTCTTGATCTGGTATGTATAATTTGTCAGTAGGTTGTTGGAGTAACATGGTATCCTCTGGTTTTTAAAGCTAGCTAGGCATTATTTATCTGATTTTTAGTTTTAAAATATATATTTTATCACATATGAAGCCATTCCCATGGAGCAAAAGGATAAATCAGAAAGTAACCTATACACAAAAAATGGAAGTTATAAAACACATGATTTACTCTGTAGCTATAAATGACTTTCAAAAAAGCTTAAAGGGGGACGGTTAATAGATTTAACTTCATAAAAATGAAAACTAATGATAGCTCCATACATAAAATGCTAAAATTTGGGCTAGGCAAGCATTTTACAAAAAAGCTTGCCTAGCGTGCATGAGGCCCTAGGTTCAATCCCCAACAGACCAAACAAAACAAGTTAAAATTGAAATATATAATAAATAAGAAATATTGTTATTGATATCATGAATGAATGCATAATATAAAAAATTTAATCCAGGTTATAAAACGCTGCAAAGAATATAAATGAAAGTGAAAAAATTGTCAAATTCATGAAAATAAGAATCTACTTCTTTAATATATTGTGAAACAACAGGTTGAGATTAGTGTAATTATGAAATAAAATGTCTTAATTACAAACTTCAAACATTTAGAAAGCCCAGTGGTTCATTCTGTGCATGGTTTTAGTGTCTTCAGGATGGTATACTGGTACTAGGGTTATATTAATATTGGTGTACTAGGATTATATTAATATCTGTAACCAGTTCAGGTTCGTAGCTTGTAGAGGAAGGCAGTCTGAACTGAATTACAGAAAATTAACACTCAGGATAGTGAGTGATTATTTCTCGTTTGAAGCAGGGTCTTGATGTATCACCCAATGCAAACTTGTAGGGTCAGGCAAGGCCTATGGGAGAAGACTAGGCTTTGGCCCCAAAGTTGTACATGATTCTTATTTCTGCTTTTTTTCAATCCACATGTATAGCATTTTGAAGGTAGAGACCTGTCATCTCCTTTCTTACTATACTGAGAATCTGCCTTTCATTCTTCATTCTTCTTCCTCTATTCATTCATATTTCTCTGCTTCACACTGCCCTCATTCCTCTCATGGAATATTCTAGACCAATATCCAATTGGTCTTCCTGGTGCTGCTTTCTATGCTGTGTTCTGTTTGCTTCACAGAAGCTAGAAAAAATTTGTAAATGTATGCCTTCTTTTTACTGTGTGAGCTTCATAATTGTGCTCAAAACCTTCTGTGATCTTTGAAACTATGTATGATCTAGCCCAAGACAGTGAATAATCCTACCTCTTCTATCATTTGTCTGATGGCTTGAACTTTAGCCCTTTAATCCTTCTCTTCCCCTAAACATGCTACGTATTTTATTACAAGACTGTACACTTGCTGTTCTTTAGAGCAGAAATGTTTGTTTTTGAAATATACACATAGAATTGTTGCCTCACATCATTCATGCTTCTGCCTAAAGAGCCTTTTTGGGTGTCCTATTTAAATGGTGGTCTCTGTCTAGCTCTGGGCCTTTGTTTCTACTTCTGTTAATATTATTACTACTACCTCTTAGAATATTTACCATTTGTTATCATTTTACAACATAAAGTTGTTGAGATTAGGAACTGTCAAGTTTCAACCGAAGGAACAGAGTCAGCAGAATATTATCTATCCATCCATCACCTGTCATCTATCCCTATTATCTATCTATCTATCTATCTATCTATCTATCTATCTATCTATCTATCTATCTATCATCTATCTATCTATCTATCT